ATCTATCCCTACACGCTCTTCAGGGTTCCCAACTGAAATCCAAGCCCTTGCTTGCTTCTACAGCTTACAGGTCGAGAGGCTGAGACTGAAGCCCGCATCATTTTCTGGTGTGGTCTGAGATACTGCACATCCCACATCCGCAAGGCAGTTAGGAATCTCTGCAGAAATAGTGGTTAAGAGAGCAGCGACCCCAGGTTGGAGTCTGCTTCTCCAAGTTGTTTTTGTCCACCCACCATCCTCAGTCTAACTATATTCTTGAACAAATTGACATCTCTGTGTCTGTTTCCTTATCTATAAAACTGGTTCATTTATAAAAAGTTGAGATTAAATGGAAAAACCACTTAAAATCCGTAGAACTACGCTCAGTACGTGATCAGTGGAGGCCAGCTGCTATACTTCACTATGGTAATAACCGCAACTCTTTAACACGTACTTCGTACCAGGCACCATGCTAAGTGCCTGACATATGTTGTCTTTTGTAGTTCTCAGGATACATTACCCCATTTATAGATGAGAAGACTGAAGTTGAAAGCAGCAGATGTGGATTCACCTTGAAACTGATGAAGCTAAACTTGAGGGCCCCTCATTTAACAGATTCTGTGAGAGTGAGGGGTTGCTAGGACTTGCAGTATTCCAGGTGGGTAGAGCCAGGTGCAATCTGAAGCCCAGGCTGGCTTTGAACTTCCAGTGATCCTCCTGCCTCAGCCCCCCAAGTACTGAGATTACAGACATCTGGCTCTGAAGTATTTCTAAAAAGCAAATCTGGTAATTGCCTAGAGATCTCAGAAGAAAAAATATGTATTTCCAATGCTCCAGTAATTTTTATCATATTCTAAATATTCACCTTTGTAACTACATTTAGGGGTTTTTTCTAAGTTTGTAAGCATCAGGTTCCTCAAACCTGGATCCTGCAGCTTTACTCTTTACCTTTCTACTTTACTGTGTTCTTGCTGGATGTATTTAAACTACTCAAACTCCTTTACATGAATGGAAAGTATCCTTAAATAGAATGGCTATTTTTCTGCATTCAGTAAGGTGGAAGAGTCTGATGAGGACTTAATGGGCTGCAGCAACGTAAGCTTAGAAGTCTTGCAAGCAACCTTAGCGTGAGGAATGGTTTGATGTTTATTTTATAAACTGAACGACTGAAAAAAGGGTAAATTGGCAATATATTGTGATCTATTACAGTTGAACCTTTGATCTGCAAGTGATTTCAAATTCATTTTTCTTTACAGGGTATGATTGTTGAAGCAAAGCAAAACCCAAAGGCAAACGGCTTGCAGAGGTCTTGCCACCAGATATTCCAAAGGAAAGAGTGAAATGCCGAAATACCCACTCAGTGGTTCCTTGTCCTTAAGAATCCTGGGGAGAATCAGATCATCTGAAATAGAAACTCTGCTATTTTTATACTCAACTGCAAACTGGGAAGTCGCCAGGCTTTCGTCTCAGCAATAAGCATCTTCTTACGAACTGGATCTAGAATTTATACTTTACACTCTGGGGAAAGGTACGTTGAGTCCTTTCAGTTCCTGGTGCTTTGTCTTTCCCTGAAGAACCTTTGAACTGAACCTTCTGATAGTTTTTCCTTTATCCACCTAGAAAGAGGTGGCAAAGGGATGAATGGGGTCGGCAAGACCCTCACTTGTCTGGGCATCACTCACACGAATCGAATGGGTAATAGGGACACGTTGGCTGGTCAACAATGGCAGGCCGTGATGTGATTATGTGCTCATAGCAATGATCAGGTGCTCCTGATAAAGGGACTGGGGCAGCCACTTGGATCTGACTTGATATCCATCTACTGGACAACAGAAAATGTCAACATCAAAAATTGTAACCCACTTTTCAAAGTAACATAGTTGCTTAATGTGAGACTCCAAGAACACGGTGTGAACACACACACACATTCTCTTGAGCCACGGGCCACTGTGTGAAGGACACTGGGGAAGTCTGCTCTTGGCCACCAATCCCGTCCTTTTATTGGCCCTTTCTTTTTTTGATAATGAAGACAGCACAAGGGAATGACTCACCAAGAAGAGACTTATTCCTAGTTTTAAATATATTCTTATATATGGATGCATACACAATCTTCAAAATGCAGCAAGGCAAGGAACATTAAAACAACCCACATCAGAAGCGTTTATTCAAATTCATTTCTCCATCAGTTAATACTGAACAATTTCTGCTATCAGTAGAATTCCAAAAATGGCTCCGCAAAACAGAAGGTTCTTCAGCTGCTGGGAGGGACGACAAGGTTGGATTGTTTACCAGCTGATGAACCTGAGGGAGTATGGGTTACAATCCTGATTTTTACTGGGGTTGACGGATGACTAGTAGAAGGAAAACGAGTAAGGCTGTGTCTAAGGGGAACTGCTGATTGAGGAGGAAGATTTCAAAACTTACCACCTCCTGGAGGGAAGGAATCAGAAAAAAAGTAATGTAAATCTATTCCTGCTATCTGCAAAACAAGAGCTGCAGGCTTCTGGTTTCCACATGGACTGGTGGGTGGGCTTCTCTGAAGGACCTCTTCCCTCCCTCTCAGAACCTCTGCCTTAGGGGAAAAGGTACAGAAAAACAGCACAGCTGGGCTTGCGAAGCTGGTGATACAGCCCCTCTCCTTGCATGTTAGGAAGAGTGGCATGGCAGTCTTTTGTTGTTTCATTGTAGCCTCTGATCAAGTCAGAGAAGCAGAAGGCCATAAACAAACTAGCTTGAAAAGGACACAGAAAATGACTTAAAACAGTTAATATAATTAAATGGCAATTACTTTTTTGAAATTAAATAGGTTGGTTGAAATATTTACTTAACCATTTGGTAGGTACTGGTTGTTGCAAATTAATGCAACAGTTGTGGTAATTGAATCTCAGTAAGGGGGTTTCAAAATGTCAAAATTATAAACAACTCCAATAAGAAATAATGAGATAGTCAACTCCCTTTGCAGTATTCCTATTTACTGAGCACCTGCTACTGGCTTTTATGGGTTACTTTTGTGTCCTAATTTTAGCTTCAGTTTCAGGCAATGTTTGATCTTTGGGAACATGTAACATCTAAATAGGGAGGCTGCCTATATTCTGTTAGGAAGAGTCAAAATGTACAGTTACATAAGGTGATGATTTCTTCATGAACAAGGTTACAAAGTAGGGTTCCCTCAGCGACTTTTTTTGTTTTTACTTGAAGTTCTTTAATTCCTTTAGAATGAGGGTTACTTCATTCATTTTCTTTCAGGAACACATCCACTGTAATGAAGATTATTCATGCATTCCTAAAATACTATTTAATGAACTCCTGGGTATATACAAAAACCACTGTTAAGTGCTCAATACCAGTCTGTCACAAGGTCTTCGTAAGACCCCATGTGCATCCATGTGATACCACTCCAAAGAATGTAAACTGCTATATATACGGCAATTACATGTCTTATATGGTGGACATACATGCTATTTTATTATATACCTGAACGTGTCACAGACACATTCAACTGTTCTCAAATATACAAAGTTACAAGGATGCGGGTCTACTTCCTCACAATCTTAGCGGTGGCTCCCATCCACAGCACTCTAAGCACCGAGGGCATCCCACTGTGCTGCACGCCGTTTCCTTGGATCCTTGCGTTCACCCTGGAGGTGGGCACCTTCTACATCCATCGCAGAAGATGAGGACAGAGAAACACCAAGTTTCCAGTAACTGAACAGTACTGGAACTGGGATTGAAACTCGGGACTATTAGCCTGCAACGCTTGTAAACTCACTCTATGCTCTGTAATGTTCCAAAAATGGATACTTTTATCAATTCTGTTATAGTTAAGCCTCACTTATACCAGCATTAAGAACTATCAAATAAAATCACACCTCTTCTTACCAACTCAGAGTTGTCAATGGGAACAGTAGTCATGACTTTGGGCTGTGCCCCATTTTCTCTAAAGCAGGCGTGGGCAGCTCCTTCCTGCACTCATGGCCCGACTACTATGACTTTTGCCTTATTTTTCATCATGTAGTTTTTCGGTCATCTCTTTCACTGTCACTTTTTCCTGCTGTTCTTGTGCTTGAATGTGCTGAGGCCTAATAAACCAAATAACCAAAGTACTAGAATGGAATCGAAGGCAGTGGTTTCCAAAGGTAAGTGTCCGTAACGGTCTTGGAGAGGCTGCTTAAAGGCAGATCCTTGGGACACTCCCCGTTGCTTCAGTTAGCCCCAATGAGGGGAACACAGGCTTAGGACTGCAAAATCTGTTTCTCGCAGGAGTGTCCATTTCTATCAGCTTTGAGATTTTTTTTGAGATTACTGCAGATCTGTCTACCTGTCCACCCACCCTATTTGGTGACTCAATATATAGTTTCAATAACTGAACTTTGTTTTCTCCCCTTTATTGGATTTACTGAACAAAATGGCAACAGAAGAGTCTGAAAGCACCACAAAAATGACATTTCCCCACCCCCAAACCTTGTTTTAGTTTATCAAAGTTTCTTAAAGGGCAGCATTATCCAGTCCTTGGAAACATAGGCTTGTATCTCAGCAATGAATCTTGGTTATCTGATTGATAAATAACCTGATCAATCTGAGCTACAATTTCTTGGCTCATCTTTAAAATCCAGATAATAGTACCTACTTCTTAGCAGCTTGAGAGCTAGTGCATAGCAAACATTTGGTAAGCACTGACTATGTAGGGAAGTTTTAGATAAACAGTATTCATGGGACCTCTAATTGTAATTATCAAACAATTTTGTGACTCTTTGAGGGAAAAAGAGTTCATCCACCCCAAGGCAATATACAAAGGCAAGCTCAATGACACGTCCTCCTTTATAGTTCTAGGAGATAAATAAAATTCACATTTGCAGCACACCACACTTACTTGAGCTGCATTAAACAGGCTTGGAAGTATTGATCTCTATGCTATAACACGGGGAATGTGAAGAAACCAAGAGCTTCCTATTTTAAATATTAGAGACAAACTAAATATTTACAATGAAATAGTATTACCTTGGTAGAAGAAACAGGCATACTAACATGAAAAAACACATTTTATTGCACTTAAGTTATAAGAAAATAAAATTTCTAAGTGAATCAAACCATAGACACAATCCCTTTAAAGGTTGTTTTCCTCCATCATGTCAGGTTGTTACATAACTAAAATTAACCAACTTGAATCTGATTGTTTTAAATCAGACTATAAATAAAACAAACAAAAAAAATAAACAGGAGGAGGAAAAAAGACCGCCTAGGATACAGTGTTAAACCACTTTCACAGTTCAGCTTGAGTTGTGGCTCCTGGAGAATGAGGCGAACCATCTGACTTTTGCTCCTCGCGCTGGTTTGCGTGTGATGCCTTCACTACAGAGACTGAATCGCTCCTTTCTTGTCAGTTACTCAGAGCAAGAAAACTGTAACAGTTGTTTTCCCAAATACTGTAAAACGCTAAGACTGACCAGCAACTTTAATTTTGTTTTATATATTTTTAAAATATTTTGTCAGTTTTATTACGTACGTTCATCCATTCACCACAGTCCTCAAAAAGAAAAGTTTCTCCACAGAACAGGCGGTAACAGCTCTGTTCCAAGGAATGTGTTTTAATTTTTTTGCCCAGATAAAAGAAAATAAGCTTTGCACACACTCTCGATTCTTTACTTGCAGGCAAACTTCACTCTTTATTATCTGAAACTCTTCCATTCTCAGCCTCTTAGAGGCACAGATGGTTCAAGTTTCAGTGGCAAAAAGTCTTTTTTCTGTAACCAAACTAGAGCAAATTTGGAATTCAGTCTGGGACTAAAACGTCACAGCAGAAAAAAAATAAAAAAAAATAATTTGCTTTTTTCTTTCTTTCATTTAGCAGCATAAATAAGTTTGGCCACTGGGAGTACAGTACAGGGGTGGGCCAACAATCCCGTATTTGCAGACCTACTTCTAGCACCAGCATCAAGAATTAAATCCATCTCAGGACTCTCAGAACCCAGGACAACTTGCCACCTTTGAGCAACATATGCATTGAAGAGTGTATATGGAAGCAATAGTAAATAGATTAACAGAGGCTAATACTGTGATTGATTGACATTGGCAATAGTTGGCAAAAAAAGCTTTTCGTGATAACTGTACAGAAACAATTCACAGTAATTTTTCCTTTCATTTTTTTTTTAGCTTTTCCACTTCAGAAAAATGACTTTTTGTTGCAGATGCTCTCTAATTAGAAAGTCAACCAGTATTTGTTTTGACATTATTGCAGCTCCATTCTAGGTGACAGTGGTAAAAAGAACAGGCTAGCAGAATCTGTAATGGTGTTTCAGCGTTAACACTGCCCAATGACCACTGAAGAAGAAAATAAAGAAGTAATTGCACCTGGTTTGATTGAGAAAGTCTCGTTTTTGCAAAGCTGCCCTCAGTCAAAAGTGAAGCCTTCCAGGTGATGAGACAGCGGCCCTGCTTGTCAGTTTCGTTTGTCGTCTCTCCCTCTTGCCTTCTTAGTCTGTAGGTCTTTCCACGCTGTTGCCCCAGCCAACACCCTGCACCACTGAGTACAAGGGATTTTTTTTTTCTTTTCTTTTTCTTTTTTTTTCTTTTTCTTTTTTTTTCTTTTTTTGTGTGTGTGTGTGTAGGGGGAAGGTCAGGGAGTATATCTTCTACACATCTGGACAACATTCACCTCTTCTGCTCTTCACTTCATGTCCACATCAAAGTCCAGCACCAGCAGCTTGGTTTCTTCAGTCCCATTCCGACTCCCAACTGCACACACCAGCTTTGTGTTGGAGGCTCTGATCCGCCACACAACTCCCCCACTTCCCCCACTTTCCAATGTGACTAGGTTTCGAATAAATTCACCCGTTTTCAAGTCCCATAGTTTTACAGTTCCATCATCTGAGCTGGTAATTACAAAGTTCTTGTTGAACTGTAAACAGGTCACAGCACTCTGATGCTTATTGGGACCTAGGCAAAACCAAGGGAATTTAATTACTAGTTAGAAATTATGGCTATGAGTTAGTTACAGTGTAATTTGTAGACTTCTATATTAAAACATACAATAAATGCAACATTTAAAATGCTGCATATTTAGAAACCTTGTTCTGAGTATTTTAGGATCAGCAAGGATGTAAGAAAATCTGGTAGCTATTTGTAACTGGAAGGTTCACTTTCTTCCAGGAAGCTTGGTGAGCTACCAGGCACACATTTTCTTTTCTGGCTGCATGAGAGAGAGCTTTCCCTGGCAGTGATAAAGACACTACAGCCTCATGTATTTTGCCGAGGGACAAACGAGCACAGTGATCTATTACCCACCACTCTGCACTGACCAGCCAAAGGGAAAGGCTGCATGGACACCATGCCAAGACCAAGAGGCCAAACCAAGGAGCAAAAAGTGACGGGGTGCCTACCACACGGCCTCGCTAAAAAACTAAGGGGTGCGACCAAGACAAGGTAATCGTGAAGAAGTTAATGCTGTTGTGCCTCATTTAACAGTAACGATTCTCACATCTATCTTTTTCTTTTTGTTTCAGAGGACACTATTATTCCTTCCCATCCCAGATAACCAGGGAGCTCAGTCGAGGCCAAGACAATATTTTATGAGATGCTTAAATTCAAAATAAATGGCTATGTTGCTTCTGTGAAATAGCCAAGACCTTTGTTCTCAAGTTGTTTAGGGTGACACAGACTCAACTGAACATGCAGGAATATAAGGAACAAGCAGAAATGAACACACAGGGATACAAACAAGTTTCTATGAAAAACATGACTTAGAACCTTTTCTCAAGGTAGCCTACTTCTTCTGTAAGTCACAGTGCAAATGCTCAGAAACTTATCTGGAGTAAGCACTCTTTGATGTGAAGGCTCCATCCATGTTTCCTTCTTGAGTAACAGTAAAATTTTTAATGAATACAACTAAAGATGGGCCAGTTCTTACCTTGCAATGTTTGTAAACACTGTCCTGTTTTGATATCCCAGATTTTAACTGTAGAATCTGCATTCCCAGAGACAAGAATATTGTCTTTGAGTTCCATTCCACTTGTTAATGACTGGTGCCCTGTTAATGTGTGAATGCAATTCCCTGTCTCCACGTCCCAAACTCGGATTGATGTATCAAGAGAGCCACTCACCACATGGATGCCATCAAACTACAAGAAATACAGCTTATTAGAACACAAAAATGGATACACTTTTTACCAATTATTGACCTTACTCTTAATATGGAGGAGAATATGGCAACAGACAAGACCAGGAAAAATATTATGTGCTAAGATAAAGTGGCAACTAGGATAAAGTGCATGCCACCAGGCAATTTATAGTGCATGCTGTTACGACACTTCTATCAGCAATGTGAATTTTCTACAGCCAGTAGCTTCAAACTGATGCAGAAACAACTTAAAAAGGAATTTTACAAAACCTCTGAAATAACATTATTTTCAAATCATCTGGTCCTACTCAATCAATAGTTTATACCATGAATGATTCTGTGAAGATTGTTATCTGGGTTTTACTTCTCCATTGGAAGCTAAAACTAACGATACAGGTTGTTGATAAAAGAGTGTGCTTATCAGCACCTGAGGCAGGAAAAGGGCTAGAGATAACTTTCACAGTGTTCAAAGAGTAGGTTCCTATTAAAAACTGTATGTAAAATAAAAGTTTCATTTACAAGAACTTAATGCTAATTAGGAAATGTGCCAAAAGATAATTATATCTGGAGTGCCAAGGAGCACAGCTGCCCCCAGTGCAGAGGAGGTGAACCGTCCGGGCTGATGTACCACTACCCCCAGTGCTGAGGAGGTGAGCAACGCAAGCGCCAGCAGCACACACACCTCCACCCCACTGAAATGAGACAACACATAAACAAGTTTCAAAACCAGACTTCCAGATCACCTGACACAACCCCAGAAATGAGATGGAACAATCTGATACTCAACCACCTGGACTCCCTGAACTGGAAACAAAACAGGATCTGGAAAAAATGAAATCAGAAATAATTTCTCAGATAACAGCAGAGATTGTGCCCATAGTGCAAGACATGATTAATAAATCTA